AGCACGAAACTTGTCGAGGTCGTCGAGGTAGTTGATCAATTATCTTCTGAAACAAAGCAACAAAGGCATTATTACTAAATGATGATATAACATTTGCTACGATCTGTTGAATTCAGGTGAGAAAAATCAATATTTTATAATGCTAAACGATCTAAACTCACATCGAAACTGTCATGCACCCGGGCTGTCTCMATCCTCGCAAGCTTGTTAGCTTTTATGTTCACCACATRTTCTTCTATAATAGATGATGACCTTTTATATACAAAGACAATAGATAGCCGGTAGTCCTATGTACCGATTCCTTTGGAATTTYGTGATATTCCCTTGCACRTTTTGTTTACCTTGAGAGTATCAATGCCAGCTGACCGCATTTTTCAAATAACTCGATCTTAAAACCWCAAAACTAGGCTTTTCGTTGTCACTCATTTATCTATGATCTTATTTGATCTTTATAGATTTGTAGTATTGATTTTATTACAAGCACGGAATAGTTTTCAGTGTTGTCAAATTGTTGTCCATTGTAAATAACTTTAGGGTTTTACATTGTCATTGCAAACATGACTAACTTGCTATATGTAATACATTTTGTAGCTAACTTAAATTTAACTTGCATGATTAGTTGCCTATAAAATTTATGCATTTGTCGTTTGCCAAATAAAAGCATTTGAAACAACCAGCCGAAAACAGCAGGATTTCTTTTTCAGTCGTACTGAAAACTTGAAAATAAGATTAATTACAGTGTACGCTACTATATTTCACACTACAAAGCAAATTTATGCTTGTGATACGTACAAATAACCTTATTTTTTCATTATTTTTAGAGGGGTTTAGTGCACCTGCATGGAAATGGTGTCAGTTTTGAGTGATTGCCATACAACTGACACCTAGCTGGTGTCCTCTTGTTTCTTAGATGCTGCCTCGGGTTTTTTTTTTTTTTACTCAATGACATTCAAATTAACTAGTTTTACTCTGCATATATATGATATATTTTTCTTTACTCTATCCCTACACTTGTATAAATAAACTTATCAAAAATTATTTGATAGATCCACATCTCTCCCAGACTCACATTGTCTAATATGAAGGTCCAATCAAAGCGAAAGAAGTTGATAGCAGTTTCTAGAGACATCATTAATTCCTATACATGATACTATTTCCTTTTAACTGATATTTGGTTAGCTCTGTAAAAACAAAGAAMCTATTACAATGCCTTTTAAAACAATAACAGTCAATTCTGGATCAGACTTGAGATGTTTTGACTAAAATTAAGAATGACTGAACAAGTCTGTTTGCTTCTGAAGGCTGACCTCTGACCACAGGTTGTGTTAAATTGGAGCAGTATTTTCGTGATTATATAGGGCTTGTTACATGGAAGTTGTCCGTCACCATGTTCTCTATTCCCTTTAGGTCAAAGCTAAATTAGGAAGATTACAATTAAATATCACGATTTAATGCACTCTTAAATCCTAATTCCAAGGGTTTCAATATCTTTTTTAATAGGCTTCTGAGTGATTATAGTAGATGTCTATGTCCCAAAGAATTCACAGTTTTAAATTTATTAAGTAACACACAAAATAATAAAGAGGTAAGATATAAGGCAAGCTATATGATGCAGGGTAGACTCCCATTATTGGAACCCATGTAATTTTGTCTCAAATTTCCAAAGATTAGTASATAACTTTGAACAAAATTATAGTTCTACAGAAAATGTGAATAAAGTATTTTATGTTCTCCCGTTACTTAAAATAATTTTCTAACTCCCAGAAATATGAGTGAGGAAGAAAATCTAATCACAAGTGTGACACCAACAAAAGAGGTCCTATCGCCGACCTTGTCAAGTGCATCTGAATCAACTGACGACCAGCCAATCCAGGTCAAGGTCAAATTTGATAAAGATGAATCCAAGGAAGAWCATGACGACAAGATTATGCCTCCATTGTTGGAGTATATTGACGCTAATGTAATTGGTAGAGATACGGTCTTTGAAGGTCCATATGGACGGAAGCAAGGTTGGTGTTCCCCATTTGTTTATGTAGCTTGCAGTTAGATGGAAAAAATGGGATGCCTGTGTAGAGAATATGGAACTAAGCTCCAGTAGAGATGACTGCAGATCATTATGAAAAAAGCTGCTAAGAGGGAAATACTTTTCATTTTTGCCATCTTTCCCCTACCCCCCACCCCCCCTGCACAGTATAAATGTATCCCAGAAGACATTTCAGCAGGTGCTACACAGGTATCCCAAAATCGAAATATTTGCAGCAATTGCGTGTCCTTCGCCTATCTCATATCCTATTGAGTCCTACGTCGTGCACCTGATCACTAATGTCATGATGTGCATTTAGGGACAAAAAGCGACACAGGCACTCTTACCCTGCCCCAATCCTCTCCTGACATTCAGGTTACTAAGGGGAAAAATTGACACTTGGTTCGTTTTTCAATTTTAGTTGTTTATTGTGATTACACTGCATCAGGAAAGTAAGTTCTTGTTTTCAGTTATTTTAATTGTCATTTTGAATGACATGCCATAGTCAATTCAAATTATGGATGCGTTYGAAGTGGGACCATATTAAGTGACTGCAATATTTAGTATTCCTTCGATATTTCAGTAATAGTAGGGTTTTTAAGAAGTAATAGTTGAAAGGGATGTCAGTTGGCCAATGGTCCTTTACTCATGATTTATTAATGATTCTCAACAGGCCTTTACGATTTATAGAAGACTACATTCAGAATTATGTGTACCCATTTTATGCTAACACACACACTAGTACCACAACCACATCAAGACAGACAACAAGGTTTAGAAATGATGCAAGGTAAAATATCTCCCCACCCCTCCCCCTATCCACAATAATATTTCACTATAACCGTGAATGATGATTCTGATTGATTGATATGTTGATTAGATGATTGATTGATTCTTTATGAGATTGATGGATAGGCTGACTTAGTGRTTGGTTGACTAAGTTTTCAATTAGCTCATTGATCAGATTATTGACGGACTAACTGAAAGGCCGACTGATGGATTGATTGATTCACAGATTAATAGAATACATGTACCTCACAATTCCCTGAGCAATCTTGAAATGTAACTGTGCTTTTGTATTATGTGAGATGGCCGCTGAGCGTGTCATCATAGCTGGAGAAACCTTGTTTCACAACTACAGTCAATTATTCACAGGTATCTATCATTGCATGCTCCACGTTCCTCTCACTTATTGCAAAGGTGTGGTTACATGTACTCAACAAGGCACAAAAAACTGTGAAAAATACTGTTGAATATAAATTCATTTTCTTTCAGAGAAATTATCAGGAGTTGTGTGAATGCTTCTGACAATGACAAAGTTATCTTCACTGGCAGTGGTACAACTAGTGGAATCCATAAGCTGATTCATGCACTGCAAATAGAGGGAGAAAATGCTAATAAAACGGTAAGTTTAATACATACATTTGAAGAGAGTAATAAATTATTTTGTGCGTACACAAATCTTCAATGGTCCTCACTCAATAACCTAAACTTTCTGTGAGAGCCATTCTGCGTGGCCCCAATGCAAGCATGGATGAATTACTCATTTAAACTCGATTTCAAGCTCTTTTTCTTTWTTTTTTYMWTYMAWTKRWWAA